TGGAACTTCACTAACGTGTGTGACAACCCCTGGCTGCATGCCTGCACCACTCCCCTCGTCGCTATTCAGCTGAAGATGCACACTGCGGATGAAAATGCAGGCCTGCTTTTGGTTATCTTTTTCCAGAGCTAATACAGCGGACAAGGCTGAAGAGTTCAGAGAATTCACGGACAATGTAAATGAGGGAAGTCACCCGACGTGGGCAAAGGCTCATTTTTCTAATAGAACAGAAGAACGTTGGCTTTCAAAACCCAGAACAGCATAAGCTTTGGGAGAAAAGGGAGGGAGCCAAAGCCGGCCTTACTGCTGCCTCAGATATAGTGCTCCTCTTTCATTATCAGAGAAAATCTTCCCATTAAATGCCAGCAGTCATACATGTATTTATGCATTGATATTTCTAGATGAGAGAGATGCCCTCCTTTCTGGCAGTGTAAAAATCAGATTGTGTCTTTACAGTAACATAAATGTCTAAGAAGATATTTCCCAAACAGCCCAAAGCAGATGGATGACTAAAACTTGCCCAAACCATTTATTGAAACAAAACTCCATCAGAAGCAGAACACTCAGAGCTCACAGTGGCCAGCACTTTAAAAAAGCATAAGCATTCATAACTGCAGCTGCTCAGAAGTTTCCCAGTATCTCAGATTCACTCAAGGTTCGCATAAGAGATTTTCTCGTGGCTTACAGTTTGAGTATTTAGTGAGCTGCATTCTGATACGGAGCTCAAGAAGAAACAAATCACATCACTCTGTAAGCAGCTCTGAAACCAAATCCTTTGAGCATTGCCCATCACTTGAACTCTCTCACCACATAGTTCTTCTGCAAATAGCCTTTGTTACTAAAGTCACAGTTAAATAGTGATCCTATTTGTCATTTACACTTCATAGATATCAACGGGTATAGCTGAAAATCTGTTAGTACTGTATGGCACCCAACCACTATTCACTGGCAGTAATTAAATCCTGATGTAAATATTTCTCAAAAACAGGAACAGATGTTTTTGGTTTTGCAACCAAGCAATGACGAAAATCTGACAAGTTCCATAAACCATAGAAGTGGGCACTTCAGAGAAAATTTCCTCTATGATTTTGCTACCATGCAGTCTCAATTTACCAGCAATATTACACAGATAAAACACAACCATTTTCTGGTATTACTATTCTTGTCTTCAGTAACACAGTAAGTGTCATGGGAACTGACAAAAGAAAAAAAAAAACAATAATCGTAATAATGAGGCATGAGGCTTACAAATCTACATTTCTGTTTTCAAACCATAATAAATTAGCACAATCACTCAGACTTAGTTACAATTCACAAATCATATCCTCGTGTGGCTTTTATAAACTATGATTCTCTAATTAATATTGGTACTTAGAAGCATCTCCTGGTTATTCAGTACAACCATTTATATATATATATTTTTTAATTTTTTAGTAGGTATGGAAATTCAGTTACAGCATGGGTTGTTTTAAGCAGTTCCCAAGCCGTGATGTAGTTAAATGTATTTGGGGGGGAGGGGGGGGGGTACAATTTGCATTTTCCTAGTTTGGGTCTCCTGCAAAGAGAATCTTATTTTTTTTCTTCAAAATGTTACTAACTACACTGAAAAATTGCTTTACAATGAAGCAAACCTCCCCTTTGGTACAAGAGTATGTATATTCGCCACAGAGCTGGTCATGATAGCTTGTCAGTAAGATGAGAGCTATTTGGCCCACAGGGGCAAATTGATAGCAGAGATACCATTCAATCAAGAGTCACAGTGACTACTGGAAAGCAAAATTCTCAATCAAGATGGCAATGAATGCAGTTTTAACACAGAGATTTAACCAGATTTGCAAGAATGGTCAGCACCCCCACCTGAGGTAATATTTTTAAAGAAACAGCCTGGATCTCAGATAGGCACCTGTAAAAACAAAGGGTTCTGCTTGGCATCAAGAATTTATGAAAACTAGGCCACTTGGACTAAATGTCTTAACAGCAGCTGAGCTTCCTAGAAAATCTGACACACAAATTACCCAGGAAATATAGTGCCTACATAGGTTCCTTACTGAAAAGCATGATGACACCAGCTACCACTTATTTAAAACTAGCGCATTTCATTATGTCAGGGCAATTGCTACCCTGGTACATATCTTATTAGTGCTTATTTATTATCAGTGTTAAGGAGGTTAACTGCACTGTTATTTCCTCTGCTACTGGGCTTTATTGCATGTCTGAGACACAGAGTTCTGAGTAAGCTCAAGCAGCAAAGGAAATAACAGAGGCCATGGCTTAATAATAAATATCTTCTAAAGGAATATAGCAATCAGGTAGGCAAAAACAAAGCAAATTTCTTCTGGGGAATATCAAGAGAGGAGAACTACAGCATCCACTCTGATGAGGGCTAGATGAATAACTCAAAGGTCATTTATCTGAGAAATTTAATCTTTTTTTTTTTTTTTTTTTTTCTGTTGCAAAGGATCTGTAGAGTGCATGATCTTCACTTCATTGGCAAATTCCCAGAATTCTTTCATTTAACATTATGGGTTGATTGCTATCAGTCACTGTGGAAAGTCATTTCTCATTGTACAAGTAGCATTAATTAGTTGCTGCCTGGTCAGAAAAGTTACTGTGTAGTACTGCTGATCTATCATTGCATGACCTCAAAAGCACTTTCACTACAGATACTCATAGCCAACTGGAGAATTCACATGTTTAAAAGCTTTCCCAACCCACCATCAAATCCTTGCCAATGTGATTCCAAAGGAAAGTGATATCAGTAGGAGAACAAAATCTCAGGAAATAGTTGTGAAGGAAAAAATGTTGCATTAGTAGTAGCATTTTTATATTGTCCACATATTTATATTATCCACTTACCCAAAGCTCTGGTACAAGAGGACAGTACAATGCTCAAGTTGCCTTCACACTAGGAAAGATGCAATAAATAAAACAGAGAAGATTAAAGGTAACTGTAATGCTAATCAAAGAATAAACCAACAGTTGCAGTTTTCTGTGCATTTCCAAACAAGCAGTGATTTACATTAAATGACAAATTTACAAAAAAAAAAAAAAAAGCCTTGAACAGATAGGAAAACAGTATTATCATTTCACAAAATATACCTTTTGTTGTTGTTGTGCACAATGATGCTTATCTTCTTGTAGTTCCAAGAAATTTCCATGAGCAGTCTCATCTGCATACACAAACAGCAAACCTTTTTCTCAGTAACTGAAGGTTCTGTAATATGCAAGACAGGAGTTGGAAGTGGTGTTTCTTAAGGGAAGAATAATCCCATTTCTAAACAGGAAGAAGATTTGCTGCAGGTTATGAGACATACACCTTGCAGCTTTCTGTGTTTGCTGAGACAGAAACTTACATGTGATGCACAACCCAGAGATCAGCTGCAGCGCGTGGCTTTCAGCTACACAGACATTTTCCTTCACAATGACACTGGGAACACTGACTCCTGATGAGCCTATCAACCAGCAGCTGATACAATGACTGCTTCAGCTGTTGATTTTACTTAACATAACATTTGGGAATACATTTGTCGGATTTACTGTTATATACACAGAAAACACCTTTTATCCTCATGCATCTCAGCATGACTCCCTCAAACACGTGCACACACACATCCATGGATACATTTTGTATGTATATCTGCAAACACCTCTTCACTTTCAACACTTCTCTCACCTGACCCTGTCAGGAATTCGTTCCTGTCAGGAATTAGCAGGAGTTAGTCCCCACAGCCAGGGTAGAGGCACCTACTGCCAGGCAAGGCCTGGCCCTGAAGGGGCAGCAGACCCAGAGGGATGCGGGGGGCCAGTACTCCTCCACAGCAGCCTGTGCACTCACTCAGCAAAAATACCTGAAATCAGGGAAGGGAAGCACCCCGTTTAGCTTGAGATAGTGTCCAACTGCTTTGCCAAATGCCACTTGCTCCCATGCAGAAGTTTGTTTTGCTGTAGGGCTATGAGCTTCTCATGAGTCAAGACAGTATTGTGGCATTAACAATGCCATTAACCTCTCAAATAGACATTACTGACTAAAATTAAATGGTTTCCAAATAAATAAGTAAACAATTATGCCAGGGGAGGCAGGTGGATGGATGTTTTGTGCAGGTGAAACCACCATTCACCTTTCCATCTCATATCTTCTTAGCAACTTGGACCCTGGGCCTTCTGAATGGGCAAATCATTTTTGAAGAGTGCACCCTCCTGCCTCCAACAGCTTTTTACTGTATGTGCTTACTGTACACATTGACACCAAACCAGAAGGCTGCAGCCATTGGCCATTAAAACACAACTCACAGGGTGCTGTGGGACGCACTGGGCCCTCTCAACAGCCAGGCTGGATGCTGCACCTCAGGCATGGCCCAGCAGATCTGCCCTGCTCAGGGTCTCCACCATTGCTTTTCTGACTGGAAACTTACTCCCCACAGCTTTGTTTCATCAGGTTAAAACAAAATTCTCTCAGTTTCGCCAAAGGACTGTGTTCAGTTCTCCTGCTTTTTGCTGTCGAGTTGGTCTGTCTGTCACTGTCCTGTCCTGACTGGAGGAAGCTGCCATGAGGCTGCTGCCTCAGGGCCTGGGGACAAGATAACCTGAAGCCCACTGTCTCTGCTCTGCTGCACTCTCTTTCCTTGACACAATTCTTAGAAGAGCATTACATTTGTACGTTTTACTCTTCACCCTTCCAGGTGCCTCTTTTCTTTATCCTTTCCCTTCAGCCTTTACAGAGCTGCCTGGCGTGGCATTTTACCGATGGCCAGGTCATCCTACAGACATTGCTAGGGCTTTTTCTCATCAGTCTCCATAAGTCACAGGTGTTATGGCCCAAAACTACTGCAGAGATCATTAGGGCAATCCCTCCAGGAGAAACAACATTTCAGCCTGTTGCATGTTTATTGGTTCTCTAATTAATACCTATAGGATCAATTTTCAAGAATCCGTCACAACCTCAGGATGTTATTTGAAAGCCTAACACCAGTGCCAAGGTTTTTTGCTAATGTTGAAATTAGTTTTTACTTTTTATGTTCATTCCACTGCTCCAAATTATATCACATATTCTATAGAGTAGCTGAATCCTTGTTTACCTTCTATATCCATCAATTACAATTTTTTGCTTTCACACCCTTCTTAGCAGGTACCTCACTAAGCACACAATATTTACCAGAACACTGTATGTTTACCTCTCTACTGCAGCCCTTCCAGTCCAATTTATTTTTCTGCTATTATTATTTGTCAGGTCTCTGAGTTCTTTACAGTAAATTCTCTATCCCAAACACAAGTACATGAGGATACACGCAGAGATATCAAGAACCCAACATGCTGTTATGATAGACTAAGGGTAGCTGATCTAGGGGAAAACAGGTTGCAGTACTCATCCATAGGCAGGGCTGGAGTGGGGTGGATAATGTAAAAAGGATTCAAGAAATCCCATGGGAAAAATAATCCAAACTTAAACACAAAGATGCTCCAATCATATTAGCATCTGTGATACCTTTGCTTTCTATAAATACTGTTGAAACTGAGTTTTACATTTTCTCTGAATAATTGGGAAAGAACATCTGAACTTTCTTGTGATCATTCATACAGGTATCTGATTATGTTCATCCAGTTAAGAATTAAATATAATACCATACTCATTGTGGTAATCTGTGCCATAGATCCATGCAGAGCTGTGTGGAAGTCAATTCCCTTGACTACAGGACTGAATACAAAGTGAATAAGCAGCCTGATAGGGACTGCTAAATATGGAAATAGTTAACTTAAGTGCAAGCAAAAGTCATGAAAAATTTAGTCAAATCATTTTTAAATACGAATGAGCTTTAAAAAAAAAAAAATCAGACAAAATAAGAAAAAAGACACTGGAAATATATTATTACTGGAAATTTGCTTACAATTTGTGTTTGAGATTAAGTTGGGCTACACAGTATTACACAACAATCAGGTGAGAAGTCTTATGAGAAGATAAGGTTGAGGGCAAGTATCTTAATTGACTTGATTTGGATGAAGACAGTGAGGAGAAACAGAAGGAGGGAAAATCCTACTAGAAGTCTGGACAAGCAATCCTGCAAGGTTATATATCTCCTATATAACCATAAGAGATGCCCAGCCAAGTGCTGTCACGCCTAAAGCACAGCAAGCTTCACTGGCATTGGAGGGATCATGCAACTCCTTTCCGTTGACCTTGCTTCCTGTCCCAGACATAGGAATGGGCATAGTTCCTGCTCTGGATGAAAGCATCTTGAAGTTCTTTGTAGATGGCAGGCCCAGATTTCCCAATGTCTTCTCTTCAGGGTGCCTGTGCTCTGCGTACCTCATCAAGCCAGGGGAGTTCATAGCTTACTCACTGCAGACAGCTGCTTCACAGCAGTTGAAATCCTGTTTTAAAGCAACAATTATTTCCTGAAATAACGCAATAGAAAAACAAATTTAGAAGCAAAGTGTTTGTCAGATTCAAGGGTTTTCTTTCAACAGAAGCAGCCCAGCTGTATCCTGAGATGCAGCGTATGGATAGATTGATCGTGTTACCATTGTTCTCCTTCCCTTTTTAAAGTGGACACTGGATATGGCAAATGTATCTGTCAAGCCATTATGGATACTATATACTGTAATGGAATACTATTCCTGTAGCATCTCAAAGGGGTCATGAGATATGACTTTCTTGCCATACCTACATGACCATTGTTAAATAATGTATAGGCAAATAGATGGATTGTGATACAAGAACGGTATTTTTTCCTATAACTTCTAGTGTTGCCTCAGGGAAACACTTGAGGAACTTACTTAGCTGTTTTTAGGAAGTGCCTGAACCCCAACTGAGAAAAGAACGAACCAGTGTGCTCTGGAAAAGAAGTTCCTGAGCTAGGGTAATACCAGCTTTAATGGAATTGTGCCTACATTCAAGATGTGTCCTGTTATTTTATGTCTTGCCAGTCAAGTGGGAGTGCTTTGCATTGCCATACAGGTGATTCCAGGTTTGATTTTCATTTCTACTTCCCCACGTCAGATGAAGGTGCCAAATCTGCTTAAAGATAGTAATCAAAACCACATTCTCACCCCCAAACCAAATTCTCTGCTCATTCAGCCTTAAAAGACCAGTATACCCCACTATGAGGTCAAATTGGCACGGGCTTTAGGAAGGGGCCTGGCAGAATGAAATGCACTCTCTTCACAACAATGCAGAGCCTGCTGGTTCTAGAAGCAAGAAGAAAAGCACAGAAAATTGAAGCAGGTCTCAACTCTTCTCAAGACCTACCTTGCTCTGTGCAACGCAATGCTGAGGAAATACTTGCTCGGAAGCCCGGCTGATAGCATATAGATTAATCACAAGGGTGTGCAAGAAAATAAGTAGGTGCATAAATTCTTCAGCTATGCTATGCATTTTCCAGTGCAGACTTCCTTCACTTTCATGCTGACAAGCTGTTGATTTTTTCATTTTTAATTATGAACTGAAATCCCTTTTCCTATCAGTTATAAATATAACAAACAGTCTGCTGTTTAACTTCAGATTTCATATCACTCATGCAAGTTGTAAGTTTAGTCAGCTTAGTACTTCTGAAATAAAATATTTGCCGGCAGGAAAATGAAAGGTTATCTTGTATTAAATAAATACATAGTAATATGACTTCCTAGTGAAAATTCCGGCCAGATGATTACTGTTAATCTTGTAATGCCATTAAACAAACCCACATTCAGAAGGGTTTCTCAGCCTATTTCAAACAGTAAAAATGAAGGAGGAAAGATATCTTTGTGGTTAAGGAACAGGTTTATGATCCTAAAGATGATCTGATTTTTGTTCCTGGCTTTGTGACATAACGTCAGTGTGACCTTTAATAAAAGCTACCTCTCAGCGTGCCTCAGCTCCTACTTTGTAAACTGGGGATAATGAAACATTCCCTTTTTATAAATAGGCAAGTGTATATTTGGTACAGGAACTGTCACTTATGTGTTTAACACCATAAAAGCAGATCTCCTGACATTATCCTAATATGACTAACCTATAAAAATAGGAAGAAAAATGTTGTTTTTACCTGAGGGGCAAGGGGTTGCTAACTGTGGAGGCGAGTGAACTGCTAAATGACTTTTTTTGTTTGGTGCATTCCCGAATGTCATCTTCTGAGGCACACTCATCTGTTGTGCTGCCGGAGTGTTTGCTTCAGCCCTGTGCCCAGGAGCTGCTCTGAGAAGCAGCCCTCTCCCTTCTTCCTTCCCTGCCCTCCCCTCAGGTCCTTTACCTCTGTCTCCTTCCTACCCTGTCATTCGCTCTATTTTCAAGGCTGTCAAGGCTACAAGAGGTTCACTTTGGCAAACTCCTGATGTTCTCAGAAGTCATAAAAAGAGAATGTCTCCCTTCTGCAGAGAGGCAGATAATCTATCAGTTTTTCTTAGGACAGTGGTTTTATAAGAACTTGCTTTAACCTACCTTGTCAGCTACAGGGATCAACAAATCTGTGAAAAGGAAGGGCTGTTACCAAAAATGTCTTTGAAAATCTGACTGGACTCCAATTTTTCTTTTCAGAGACACCAAACCCTTTGCTTACTTACTATTTGTTGTAGGAAGGGAAAAAAAAATCTCCAAAAATTGAACCCTGTTGAAAGATCATACAACACCACAACTACAACAAATGGCAATAGTCAGTGTGCAGGAAAACAAGTTTGTCTTGAATTCATGAATTGACAAACTGGTTTCTTACAATAATTATGAATCATCATAAACTTCAAACTTCTAACTCATTATATATTATTAACTGCTAATTCAGCTCTTCTCTTTCTTGTCTTTTGGGAGAAATGGGAAGGCATTTCAGTGCTTCCTTGGAACCCATGCCTTGTGGTTGATTACTTCAGTGCTATTCCCAGGAGCATCTAGTTACCATCTCAAACAGTGTTATTACTCCAACTTATAGTAGTATTAACAATTCTGCTAATCTGTCTGACCTGAAAAAAAGAAAAGAAAAAAGTATCCAGATAGTAACTACACATACTGATAAGGAAGAGTTTATAGCAGAAATATGCTTACACATCTATTATCCCATTCTGAATTTTCAAGGTCAGAGTAAAACTGTGGCTTTGTTACAGCCTTGAAATAGAAAATGAAATATTTACTAAGCAAAGGTAAGTCTTCCAGAGAATATATGTTGTTTATCATCAAACCTTGCCCTGACTCTGGGAAATCAATGTCACAAAGCAGTTGAAGTTCTGTTTCCGTGAAATCGAAGCGTTGTCAGGTCCATGAGTCCTTCAATAACCTCTGCAACATCTACAGTCTGCAGCATTATCTAAGTAAAATATACAAACACAAGTAAACAAAAACTATTGTTTTACTTAAAGTGAATGCATTTTCTTTTCAGAATTGCCACTTTTAAGCTGAAGGTAGAGTCTGCAGTTTTTGCATCTCAAAATTGTCGTCACGAGCGGTACACTCACAAAAGACAATTTTCTGCCACTGAAGAAAAGGAAATAAAGAATATTTTCCAGTAACCTCTGTGAAAGGAAAGCAAGACCTAAGACCCAGATCTTACTGCAAATTTAAACATCTAACCCACAAAAAGTTTGAAATTCAGGTCATGTCCCTAAAAAACATGGAGGAACCTTGCCTGAAGTGCTCATAGATATAAAAATACACGGTTCTGATGAGAGAAACCCTCTAGGTTCTTTCACTACCCACATTGCTTTGTAATGCTTTGGTAGCATCAGCTGTTCTTGGTGCAGACCTGGCCAGAGACCCCTCGAAGGAGCATCATGGACTTGATTTCTTTGGGTCACATAAAGCACAAGATTACATCTCTTGCAAACAGCCTACAAAGAAAAAGTTATTAAGCTTTATTACAAGTGTTTGTCCTGTCCTTTAAAAATGGGCTGCAGCATAAAGTACTCAGGCCCCCAATATCAAGCAAAAACAACAAAAAAAGAAAAAAAAAAAAAAAAACACCGATTACAAAAGGCCCTTTTGCAAAGTAACACACGAAAACACAAACACCTACTTGGAGTAGTGAATATAAGCAGATACATTTCAACTTGAGCAATGTTCTTTGGGCCAATGGCATGATTGTGGCTATACACCTACAGATTAAGGAATGGAAAACTGTTTTATTTGCTCCTGGACCGGTAATTTCTGCTACATCAAGTCTAAGATAAGTCTTTATCCATCACATTGTATTCATTAGTCTGTTCAGATAATCCATAATACAGGCCAAACAGCAAAAAGGTTAGCTACAAGAAAGCACTACTCATTTTAAAGTGTTAACACAGTTAGTTGAACTTCTTCATTTCCAGCCCTGTATGTATTTATCCAAACCCAAATACATCCCTGAAATGAAGAGGCTTGAGAGGCAACAAAGTGCTATGCTTATATTAAAGCTGGGTGAAAACAGAGCAGAAATGAACCTACTTTATCTCATTATGAGCATGTGCTTCAACTGTATCAGGTCGCAGCCTTGCCCACCTGTACCAACAGTTCTGTAATTGATTCCTACAAGCCCTCATACCCTATGGCTTCCAGTTCCATTTAAATGCAGATGTGAACTAATGGAAGGGCTGTGCATTTCTGAGCAGAGACTCGGGGAACATATTGCTTGCCTATTCAGTGATCTGAATGCTTTTATTCTTTTCCTTAACAGCCTTTATTTTGTTGTGTCTATTTTTATTTTTTTGTTTTTAATTTAAACAACATGGGGCTTTTTCCACGCTCTGTTAAAAGAGGAAGGGGGAAAAGAGCTAATTATATCTGAACTGAAGTGTAACCATGGCCCTATTAAATAGGTAGCAGTTATGGGCTATTGATCGCAGTTCACAGGAAAAGCTTGTCATGTAGTGTCAAGAGGTTAATGTAATTACAAGAGCGGGCAGCAGGATCAGCTGTGTCCTCGAATAGGCGAATAACTAAAAGCTGCTTTAGAGACACATAATGTTGTCAAAGCATAAATAATTCATCCCAGCATTCGAGAAGAAATTACTGCTCCGTTCCAGCGTATTATTCAGCCATTAAAATCCTGCCCTTGTAAAGTCTTTTGATGTAGTCATATTTTCAGTTCTAAGAGCAGTTTTGGAGCATTCAGCTTTTATTAAGCCTTATATTGTGCAGTTTTCAAAGTATTAAAAAGGATATGAAATAGACTTGCAATTTGTTTAATAACTGCATTGCAATTCAGATAAGGAGAGGGCCATGTGGATTTATGGAGTGCCTGTGCAAAGCCATGGTGCGATGTGATGGAATTCTCCAGCTACCCTAAGCAAGCCCGAATTAAGTGGGCTTCAGCTATTTACTAGCACTGATAGCTGCAGCAGCCTTCGCAGCATTTGGTGAGCCATTTCTCAAGATGCAGCTGATAGGAGAGCCATGAGAAGTATCAGCATGCCCAGCTACTCTCCTGTTACAGCCTCCTGACTCTTTGCTAGTCCTTCTGAAAGTCTTTGGCAATTTGATACTGGATGCTTTCCACTCTTCGCATCTGTTGCCTGAACTGTGTCTTGCAAGTTCATCTGATGCACAGATTATCTGTTACACAGCCAAAGCCCCAAAACTGTCCTTTAAGTGGAGTAGGAACATGTCATTTTGGTATCTCTAAAACTTTTTTCCTTTTAAATATCCAAGCAAAAAACATGAACAAACAAACAAAGAAAAACAATTCCTCATTTTAGAGCATATTTAGCCACTTAGAGCTTTAAGGAGAAGGGATGTGGCTTGACAGAGAAAGCAGGCTTTCATTTCAAGTTGACCAAAAGGAAAGCCTACCCCGAACACACAACCCCAACTGAGCACTCCCCACTGTCATTATTCACCCTAATTCCCTGCTAGAGGCTAGCCCCAACCCTTCTCCTGCCCACCAAATGTGGCTGGAGCTGGAAGGCTACAGCTGGAGATGTGAGCCTGTGCTAACACTACTGCAAAAGCACTGTCAATATTATGAAGTCTATAGTGAGCTTTTAGATGATGATGGCTGCGAACTACTGTTCATTTATTGAAAAAGAAAAAGGCAGGTTGCATTTGGCAGACAATTACAAAAAACAGTCAGAGGATTAAATACTACAGCTCTCAGATCATTGCTGCCAGTGATTGGTGGCAATCTGATAAGGAAAGGAATAAGAATTTAGTTATAAAGCCATTGCATGGAAAAATAAATAAAACAGAAATAAGCATGAAGCTGAGAAGACCACAGATTGCAAAAAGTAGCTTAGGAATGATTTCAGGTGAAAGGTTCACCAGCACAGGACAGAGAAAACACAGAGAAAGAAAATAAATAAATAAATAAATAAATAGCTTTATCAAAGTCCTTAAAACGCCACCATTCTGACACAGCAGCTACTCTTCTGGCTTACTGACAAAAACTGAACAGGTGAGGTCCTCCCCAAAACTGCTATTCAATTTTTGAACAAGCCATCTCCCAAAGGTAGGTATTTTGACAACAGCGCCTAAAGAGACCCCATTTCTATGGCAAAAGAGCTACTTTTTCCCATATCATCTCTATTCAATAACAAAAATTGAACAACTGTTTGGGGAGAAAAAAAATCTGAACAAGCAAACTGGTCCCCCACTGCGGACATCCTTACCTTTGAACCTCACGCACTGCTCTTCCTTTTCTACTTCCCATGCACCAGTGCACAGATATTTGCTGTGTTGTGAGGGGAGTTTATCTTGGCTTTGTGTGCATCTCTGCAGTGTTGACAGAGGGATTTTTATGTTTCTTACACTATTTCATTCACAGCCCAAAGAAGAAAGTCCAGCTTACTCCTAAGGGAAGTTGAATTTAGTATCTTAAATTCACCACACAAATAAGATCATTAGGAAGGTGCCAATATTCTGTATACACCACTCACAGGTCCATACAGTTAAGTAAAAAAGGAGGCAATGGTTGAAACAACAGAAACAAACCTAAATGCAGCTTTTTGATGGCTCAGCAGTTACAAGCTGTGAAAGCAACATAAAGGATGCAAAAATAGGAGCTTTCTCACAGTGTTTTCCTGTTTCTCAGAATTCATACAGCCTGCTCTGTGGTAGCTCTCAGTCAGCTCTGAACTCACACCAGCATTCATAAAGACAGCTGAAGGCCAATCCCACGTTGACTCCATCAGGTGGAGATTTAGTCCAGCTGGGGACTGTACTTTTTGTCATTCCTATCAGTAAATCTTATCAGGCCCAAAAGAGTCAGGGGTCCTGGTTCACATCGTGTAGTGTTTGGCTTCCCTGAATCTATCCTGTGATAAGCAAGGATCAACGCTTGCATCCTGCACGTGGCATGGAGTAAAAATGAGATCCATGCATGTGTCCCCTTGTTTGCTTAGCAGTAGCTCAGTTGTCTGCCATGATTACGTGAAACCAAATTCTCCATTGCCACAAAGTTTTGTTATGAAACAAGCCAAAAACTAAAGTTCTCACTAGGCTTGGACTTGAAAATTTGAAAATTCAGCAGTTTTGAGTTACATCTGTGAAAAAACAAAACAAACAAAAAAACATAGATTACTAAAATGAGACAAAGGCCTATTCAAAGGGGTTTTATCCATTTTTTCCTGAAAGCCAGTTCCACACTCCTAGTTGATAAAGCAGTCTGAACCCATGCCTCCCACAGGGGAGCGGGACTGAGCTGAGCTGCTTTACTGCTAGGAGCTTCACTAGGTGATTGAATAAAATAACACGCAGGTTGAAATCTTTCCTCCTTTGAAGGCAATGATAAAACTCCCAGTGGGGCTGGGATTTAACTCGAGGATTACAGCTGCTGTGGATCAATCCTTTACCAGGTTTAGTGGAGTTAGGCCAATTAACACCAGCCAAGGGCACAGCCCCTTCATTCTACCCAGAAAGCAATAATATCCATTATTGTGTTTCCCAGCCAGTGCTCTGCCATTCTTCTTTGACACAATCTCCCTCCATCTCCCACCTTTTCTAGTTTCCCATTTGTGACCCTTGGCTCGCAGAGCCATCTGAAGCCTTAAAAATATTTGTTCTCTAAAATGTAACAGAAAGAAAAATGTTTGGATTTTTGCTTTGTCAGGAATCTGCTTCACTTATGTCCAATTAAAACAAAGATAAAAAGTAATCTACCTCATCTTCAGTGAGGAAAGAGCTGGGGCTTTTCAAATATACAAATCAAATGAAATAACATCGCAGACTGCCAGCTCCAAATCAGATGTGCATGGGGGGACGTATGCAATGCATTACAAACATCTGCCCTGCATCTCAGGCCACATCCAGAGACTTCTTGGGGCCATTGTCCACATTCTGAACTCTTTAACACTGCAACAGATTTTGCATTCTTAGATTATTTTTTGCTTCAATAATTAGTAAATAGCGATGTGTGACTTTAATTCATCAGAACAGACTGAACATTGCTAATTTGTGACTTCACTTTTCTTTATGAAAACTGCAAAAATGAGCAAATTCTCCTCTCTGAAAAACACTTTGTGGTATGCTCTTTTCCACAGCTTTGTGTTAAAAATTGTCTCTTTCCTCCTCTTCCCCTCCTCTTTCTCATCTCCCCTTTTGTTTCTCTGCCTGCTGCCTTTTGCTTTCAGGCAAACCCATCACAGCCTGGAGTCCAGAGCAGAGCAAGGACAAGAGCTCAGCTCACTGGATTTACACCTGCTTGCCATGCTGGGTCTGAACCGAAGTGCTGTAAGACAAACCATGCTCACTCTGTGGTATTCAAGACCAGGAAAACCCCAGCAGATGTCTTCAGCCATTTAAAGGCTGCTTTGTGCTTACAGAAATCTGGCCTTCAGAATATGAACATTTTGTTTTGTTTTCTTTTCTTTTCTATAAGTGGTGGTTTCTTGCTGAGAAAGTTTGATTGACTGAGGCAACCTAAAAAAATCCCATGCAACTCGGTTGCCCAGTCACACACTGGCTGTCAAATAGCGATGAATCAGAGAGGACAGTTCACGAGCTGAATGCTTCACTGCACTCTTCAGCAAATTCATTAAAACAATCCCGTTTGGTTTACAAAATGATACATAAACAAAAAGAGCAGCACCATATATATCAAATACTGTCTACAAATGAGCACAGCTGAAACTAGGCTGCTTCAACTGGGTTCACCTGAACTGAAGCCCCAGCATGCAACACCGAGGCCAAAGAGAAAAGAAAAAGCCACAAAATGAAACAAATGAAGCAACACAGCCCAGATGCACACCAGCCCAATACTGCCCTAGGTAAATAAGCAACTGCAGCTCATCTACATCTACAGGGCTCACCTCATCTAGGGGGCTAAATGCTCATGCATGAAGTTACATATGGGAGAGGCAGGCTTTTTTGCACAGACTCAGCCTTCAGCATGGACACAATTTGTTCACAAATAGGACCTCCAGTTGCTCAATTTAAGATTCCATATGCTGTTCCTGCTGATAATGAGATTTTAAAGATTATGAGATAAACTAACTTGTCATTCTGATTCAAAAAGGTAAGCTTATAAGTCCATGGAAATCCCTCCTTAATACAAGCAGGAAAGGCTTAGCGTTAGCATAAGTTTGTTTGGCAGTAAATAAAAATTAGAACAAAAATCTGAACAAAAGATTTATATATTCCAGCAAGGAAATAAGACCTGAGTGCTATAAAATCATCTGGTGGCTAGTCCTGTGCCGGGAAGCTGTTTGGGTTACCTGGATGCTTTGCACTGCCTGGGCGGTCCCGTGCCTACGGACACCACCACGTACAGCTCCCCATGCACACCTGAGGGGCAGGCTCGTCCTCACAACAAGAAGATAGGAACATGCGTGATGGTCAACAACTGCTCTCATTGTGAACGATGGGAGGAAGCTTTCCAGTACCCAATAGCACGTTGTCTATTTCCTCAATCATTTAAATGGAACTGCTTTTCATTTATTCCTGAAGCATGTTTGTATCTGCATTCAATAGTGTTGTTAAGCTGTCTGGATGTGTGTCATCATGGCAAGTGTGAGTCTCTCCAGTCCCGTAACGAGCGCACAGCTGCCAGGGAAGTGCAGCACAGGCAGGACTTGGGAAAACGGGAAAAGCTCACCAGTGGCAATTCAAGAGTCGGGGATGAGGGAGGTTTAATGATGGAAAAGGATGAAACTGACATAACCAAGAGCTGGAGAATAGGAACTATGAATAATATGGGATGAGCACAGGAAGGAAGCAGTCAAAAATCAACAATAAACCTAGGGCGTTGTAAGATAAACCTTGACCTGAGACTGTCTGCTTCAAGAGCGAGGGACCGAAGAGCCAAGCATAGGTGGAGAAACCCAGCACAGGCACTGCTGGTAACTGCGTGTGGAGTAGTTACTAGATAATGTACTTTTCCACTTGAAAATATACAGGCTTCTTGGGAAAGAAAGCAAATTCCAGTAAAACCTGCAGAGCGATTCTTCTGACAACCCAAACGAGGCCCTTGCTTTATTTATCACTTTATCTGGTTGCTTTGGTCAATGCCCTACAAATCTGACCACAGGGCCCAGAATTGACCGTATGTGCTTCTGGAAGACAAAACCATTTTGTTGAGCTTTTCTTCTTCCACTGCAAGGAACAAAAGCTTGTTTCACTTGGCTCAATTCTCGGTAACAATTGACTTTGGGAGGAGGGCACAGAGCCTGTGTCATTTTTCAACCCACTGCAGAACTACAAGCTGAAGAAACAATTTGTCCCTGCAGTCAGTTAAAATATATACACAAACTTAGCATGATTTCACAGGTGTTTCTGCTTTAAACCACAGTTGTTTGTTGTTTGCTGCTCTCACCCAGCCCCGACCCCTTTGGTAAATAAGCAGCAATCCGAAGGCTCGCTGCGATACAAAACACACCCGCTGCAGAAGCACCAGATCTGCTCCTCCTTGGCTCCAAGCCCCAAAACACCACCCCTCTGGGTCCCCGAGGTGCTTCCCTGGCTGAGCCTGGCGGGGCTCCCACAGCACAGAAACAGCAATCCCCAGCCTGAGGAGAAAAGTATCTGAGAGTCCACCAGGAGCCCCATCCTCACGGCTTCCTTCTGCCCTCCCAGGCAGCTGCTGGCTATCCAGGAGCACTGCCACCATGGCTGGTATCCCAAGCTGGGATACACCTTGGGTAATTTCTGCAGCCAGAATGCAGGTTGGATGCACAGATGCTAGATTTCTGCAGGCTAGATGCGCAGGGACCATTGGTGGTCTTATTCAAAGGCAGTGCTGAAGGCAACCATTTGTGTTTACCTAAGATAGAGGCAAAAATAAGGTTGCTGAAGTCAGGGTAGCAGAAAGATGCAATGTCAACAGTGTGTTTGTCTTGTCTCCTTAATCACACTAGCCCGATGAACAAGTAAAAGTGGCCCTGGCTAAATCACGTTACCAAACATATCTGTAATTGTTATGTGTAGAGATTTCATCCATGGCCCAAAATACATCTATGCTTTAGAAAGGGACTGCAGGCTCACAAGAAGGTTCACTTAAAGATACCCTGAGGGTAGATGACATGAAGGTGCAGCGGCTGAGAAACTGTTTAAAAATAATGATAAAAGTTACAACTAAAAGAACCTGTCACCCTCTAACACAGTAGGCAAAGCTCCTAGCACTGCATGAGACATCCAGCTCCACAGCTGCACAAAGGAGCTTTCATGTCAGGGGATGAATTCCCCCAACAAGCTCATAGATGGGTCTTCAACTTTCTCTTTTTTTTTTTCCAGGAATGTTAGCTGATAATAGTAGGAATGTAATGTAGGAATGTAGGAGCGTGTAATTTTCTACCCGGCAAAGTATCGAATATCCATGTAGCACCACCAAGCTCTTCTGTGACTGAAGTCACACTCTCACAAGTTGCCCTGGACAAAACAAAGCAGCCAGAGGATTCCTGATGGGCAACTACAGGAAAAGCAATCACACAATACTTTATCAAAAAGATAGCCCCTGTGCTTCTGAAGTCAAGCCCTGAACTTTTTGTCTCTGTAGTTCATTACATATATTAGCAATAGAGCTATGTATCTTTGTTTCTCTGGGGCACGGGGAACACAAGTGACTTCTTTCCCCCTTATAATCCCAACACCATAGCTCACGGCTCACACGTGTGATCTTGCAGGTGTCCCCAGGGCCCCCATCTCCATCTCTTCCTTCTCAGCTACATGGGCACCCTGTTCCTCTCACTCAGTTGCCAGCCCAACCCAAACTGTTCAGTCCAGCTTGTAACTCAGGGACAGATTGGTGTGACTCACGTACGTTCTTTTGAAGAGCTAAGGAATTATCTTAATTAAAAATTTTCCAAGATATTTCATATTGTTATCAGAGAAGTGAGGCTGAACCAGGAAGAGTGCTTCGCAGGGAAGGCTCCCAGGAGCTCTGACTGCTCATGGCACAACCCTCCACAGGTACAGAACTGTGTCTGAAGATGTTCTCCATTGATCCCCTGAGAGCCCTGGTCCCAGGTCCTTCACCAGAGACTTCCAAAAGCTGCGGGTGATGACTGCAGAAGTGGACCTACACCTTCACCTGGATCTGAGCAGCCTTCCAGCAGTTGCTGTGTATCGTACCCCTAGACATCCCTGTGCACCATGAACATCCATCCCCAGCTGGAGTCGTCTACTGCGTTGAAAACAAACAATGTTGGCATTAATGATTTGCCCTAGAATAATGATTTGCCCATGGAAATGGTACTTCAGCACCTGGCAGGTTCATTTTCAGTTGTGCAGCGTCACACATGGCGGCAGCGGCTGTGGGCAGGGCGAGGCTGAGAGCAGCTGGCGCGGGGCGGCCAGCATCAGGCTCGTGCTGTGCACGTGTGTGTGTGCAGACGGTTCTTACACACGTAGATGGATGCAGATACATTGTGTAGTACCATGCCGGGAGGTATCACAGGAGCTTTGTACTGGGGAAGACTCCTCGAGCTCTTCTGGAGGGTTCCACAGACTTACTCCTCTCATCACCCAACTTGTTACTAACAAGAGAAAACCACCCACTCTAATCCAGCACAGCTCTGGCACACCCACCTGTGTACTTTGCTCAAACACTCAGCACCATTGAAGTCAAACACAGTTTAGTACACAACTTGCAAGTTATTCCCAGGATTGAAACAGTTGTGTGGACTTCCTGAGTGCCAGAATAACTCCTTCACAGAAATCCCACAGTCAGTCAATTAGGAAAGCTTAAAGTAATCAGTCACCCACAGACGATTGGATTTAGCAGTTGGTGAATGTGTTTTGTTCTTGGATCAACTACACCCACTTCCAAAGCTGATTAAAAAATGTTGATGATCTCTTCCACCTGGCTGGGACAATAAAACGGCTGCAAAAAAACAGCTCCGAAACCCTGGGAGCTGCTCTTAGCAGGCTGCAGCCTGGTGCGAACGCAAAAACAGGTGAAAAGTGAAGCAACACCTGCATAAGGAAAACTTCTGGACAGTTTTTGAAGCCAGTAACACTTGTCTTAGGAATGCCTTAATGTCATGTCTTAATTGTCTTAATGGCATGTGGGGACTGGTTAGTTGCCCGTTTCTTTCCTCCACCTGTGCATACCAGAGAGCAGAAGTTGGTGAAGGAGGCGTGGGTGTCCTGAGATGGCCTGTCTCTTCAGCAGCCAGAATTCTGCAAAAATGATGGGAAAGGTCTCCGAGGTTCAATGTTGCATTGCAGTCCTAAGCATTTGGTCAAACCAAACCTATCTGCAGTCATAATATAAACCTGAAAACCAAGCTGACAGAGAGGAGCTGTGGAACTCCACAGAAGCCTTTCTGTCTGTTGTTGGGTACTGGTACCTCGTGTTGTTCAACATATCCTTCAAATATTCGCATGAGTAACAGCCACATAAAAAATAAAGGACAACCTGAACATGCTATCATGACTTAACTCTTTGCCAGAACATGAATATAGTATCTTTCTTGAGGAAAAATAATAATAATAATAATAATAATAAAATTACCTTGAAGTTTCACATATACCATATGGCTAAGAGTAAGATCTTTAAGCTGATGCAAATCCAGACAGTTCCAGTGAAATCAGTTCATACCACGTGAGGCACCAGATCGTCTCCTTTATCCTCACTTTCTTACTATTGTCGGTGCCACCTTTTCTAGGCCGTTCATACTACGCTGCTGCAGTCAACTCAGCAGCCTCTTTAAGCATGGAGAAATTTTAACCTCCCATCTTTTTTTCCAAAGTTTTTTTTTTTTTTGTTTTTTGGTTTTTTTTTTCCTCCTAGGAGAATTTTAACCATTTTTTCAAAAAGGTAGAAGTAAATGCTCTACAATGTTTGTCATGTAATACAAATCTTCAGGCTGGAAAGTCATGGGTAAGCTCCCAGACAGATTAACCAGGTGAGCTGCACAATCCCCTGCCTCCCTGGGGATTCTGGTACTGAAATATTGAGTGTTGAGTTTCCAGGTAATCCCACTGGCACATGGCCATGCTATAACACCCAGAACCAAAGCACTGCTGAAAGTCCCAGTTGAGGACTGAGTTTTTAGGGGACTTGGGGATTTAAAGCCTAGCTCCGATGCTCCCTCACCTCCCAGATGGCGGCGTTTTCAAATCATCTATGACTTGGCCGGCCACAGCTGCTGACCACCCTAAATGCTCGTGCTGCCCCAGGCCTTTATTGGAGCAAAGCTCAGAGAACATCCCCCAGGACAGGAACTGCCCATGCCCTCATCTATCCAACACCACCCATCTCTCGCTTATACAGCTTCTCGCTGTGTTGGCTGGCTGCTGAACCAACCCTCCCCAGGTGATTATAATGGAGACATCTGGGGAGCCTCATCAGCAAGGTGCTGAATGCAAGGCCAAAAATCCAGCTGGGATGTGGGAGCCCGTTCTGTGAGCAGCTCCATGCCGTCGTTTCAAGCTGGGCAGGGGGCGCAGACCCGTGCTTGTAATTGCCGAACAGCCCCCGAGCGCCTGGCCCTGGGGCTTCAGTTACTGAGCCCAGGGGAGGCAAGGCACCGTGGCAGACAGGGGAGGCGAACAGGGCTCCTAATGGTGGCTTTGTTCTTCTGACCATTTAAAACAAAACAAAAACAAACAAAAAGAAAGAAAGAAAAAAAAAACGTCTTCCAAAAATGAACACCAAAATGCCTCAGCCCGCTTAATTGGTCACAAGGTTTTATAGAGCAGAGTCTGGAGTAAGTTCAAGAGCACCAAAAAACAAGGATTTCATTATCTTTTGTTGGTCTGGATACAGGCTAGTAATCCGCAGCAGATTGCTGGAATTTAACTAGAACATATAAAAAGTAAGTTATGATAGCATGGTCCTGTGGCTACTCTCTCCGTCTGCCCAGGGAGAAAACATTTACTAAGCTGATTGGAAAAGAATACTTCAGGTTTTAATTTTTGTTTTTCAAAGAAAACTTCTATGTATTCATAAAACTTCCTCAGAGGCTGCTGTAAACAAAGAATTATGTTCAGGGCCACTGCCAGAAACGAGGTATGTCCGAGGTCTGTAACCCATTCAGTGGAGAATCAGTCAGCGGCCCAAGGGGACTCCCAAACACAGAGAGGGTGAAATAACTGAGGTCAAGGCCTCAAACGCAGCTCTAATTTTAATTCTGTTGATTTAGAGCTTTTTGTAACATGTTGGATTTTTTTTTCAATTGTCAAAACCCATTTAATTTTTCTTGACATGCTTAGAACAGCCCCAGCGTGGCTGGAGGAGCAGTGCCCGTGTGCTTTGTACCCAACCAGAGTCCCTTGCCTCATGCTACAGTGCAAGTGCGTGGACAAAACGAGGAGCAGAGAGAACAAGTGTGTTGTTGGTAAGGAAATATCTTAATAAAATCCATATATTTCAAGAAAACAAAACCATTGTGGTAAAAACTTTCAGTAGGATGGTTCCTTAGATTTGGGAACTGGAAGGGAAACTGAGCGGGGAATCGGAGAGAGAAAAATGACGGTGCCCAATTCTCGCTGGACATTCGACAATTGTTTCTTAAAAAGATGTACAGGTTTTGCTTTCATTTCACGATAAGGCTGAACTATTTGTACAAGTTTTTCTTTGTGTGCGTGCAATGGAATCTGTTTTTCCAGCCAAGACACATTCCCTCTTAACACACCGCCCGGCCAAATAAAGACACCAGAGAAACACCCAGTTTGTTGCCTTTGTGTTCTCAAGCACTGAAGGAAACAATGAACCAGCTTTTGAAACATGCTAAGCCAGTGCCATCAGCAGGACTTCCTGGGGATTAAGGCTGCATGTTGCAGCTCCATTGGCTTCACTGGAACCCTTCCCAAGAAGAGCTGGGTTCAAAGTATTTGTCAGGCAGACAAGTCAAAAGCTTAAGCACCATTTCTGGAAGAACCAGCATCCTTTTTGCCCTACCTTTGAACTGTGTACACCCATAACGAGGTGGGTGCAATGGGAGGAGCTCTGTGCACCCCAGTTAAGCAGGGCCACCCAGGAGGGGTGGTTAAGGACATCGCACCCTTGGCACACACCTGCCCAGGCGCTGCCATCGCCCTGCAGCACCCTTTACACACAGCACCCACTCCCCCGTTCCCTGCTCCGAGCCCTCGCCATCGCAGCTCCGTTTCCTGCTCCCCCTGACACTCACACCTCCGGTTCCCATTTCACCCCCCAGCTTCTCCTCCCTCCCTGGCCACGTTTCCTACACCAGCCCCAGGACGCCCAGCACGGCTGGCAGTGCCACGAGGCAGCAGCCAGGCTGCAAAAGGGAGCTGTGAAACCTCCAAGACTCTGCCTCGGCCAGAAGAGACCATGCCAAGGCCCAGGCAATGGGAGAGTTGGTGCAGAATAACTCAGACTACCCCAGAGGACAAATGAAACAATCTCATGGTCCTGCAATTGGTTTGTCAGGGACAGCACCCAGAGAGGGGACCTAGTCCCCAAGGAAAAATCACTGCGATTGTTCACAAGGCCAGCCTGCCTGCAGCATCCTTCCCACATCACAGCTATGTCTGGTGGTTGGACTTGGTGATCTTGCAGGTCTTTTCCACCCTAGGTGATTCTCTGATTCTCTGATGTTCAGCACACCACACAACCTGGGGCAGTAACAGGAGCATGAGACGTGCTTGAAGATACAGCTGGGAGCTGCGCAGTGTAAGCGAGCTTTGGGAGTGCGTTCCTCCGAAATCTCCCGAAGAAAACTGATCCCCTCAGGGTAAACAGCAGGGTTATTACCTCGAGTTTTGTATTCATATTTGTTGTGGATAAGCACTACATAATAAAAGAGTAATAAAAAGATGCAATAATTAGAAAGAGTCCATTTCAGGTTTGTACAGCAACTACTTTATTATTTTCAAATGCAAATGTTTGCATTGCTATTTTACAATTTTACAAACTAGGTATAAAAGACCATAAATAAATGACATAAGTTATGTGTACCTAAAATTCATGGAAGGGAAAAACATTACAAATTAAAACAAAATAGAAAATCTATATATCTAACCCAGAGATCGTTCAAATGCACGAACCAAGAAATGCTGTTAGATTTTTTCAGTATGAACTAAATTATAATATGCCTCATACATTCTAATTTTAACCACAGTCCTTGCATATTCCAACATACTTGCAGTGATACAAAAAAATAAATGCACTCTCTTTTTATTTGTCTGATTAGTATTTCAGTTCTTTTTTTTTTTTTCTGGTTATGAAAATGTCACAAAAGAAAAATACTGCTTTTTAAGTCCCCTTTACTGGTTACTTACCAGCCTTTTGTATTTTATACATATATTTTTTAATACATAGATCCATCACAAAATTAGTACAGCAAGAAACCCGGACAAACATCAACCAGTGGGATGCGAGCAGGACAATTCCTTAACAAGCAGAGGCCTGTGGTGCCGGCCAGGCTTCTCGATGACATCCTGGGCAGTGGGGAAGCTGCCCTGGGTCCCCTTCACCCCAGCTGCCTCCGGAGCTGTGGCCCCCGGTGCCCGAAGCCTGCAGCCCCTCACTGCCTGCCCCGGCTGCCCCCAGCCCAGCTCCTTCTCCTTCTCCTCCTCCTCCAGCACGGCCACTGGTGGGGACGATCTTCCAGTGCAGCACACCCGGATCCCCCCGAGGGGAGCGCTCCCCATCCCGTGACATTTGTTGCGCTGCTCTGGGCACGCGGTGGCACCTCGCGCCCTGCTCCCAACGCCCAGCACCTGCACACTCCCTGGGCTCTAGGTGCACGGCTCCACTCAGAAACTCTGTGAGTTTACTGTAAGTTAGCAGTGAATTCTCTGAAGGCAGAAAGCTGCTGTAGGTAGCACCAGCAGGCCGTAGCACTGCTCCCTGGGCCACGGGAGGCGCCTCCTCCAGCACCTCACCACATGCTGGGAACAGGACACATTGCAACGCTCTGGCTCTCTACCGTAACCTTAACAGTCTCGTGACTGTGTTCCTTAACTGTGCCAGGAGCAAATGAAGTGTTTTGATTATTAAAGTTACAAGATTTCACAGCTTGCACACAGAGCAAGGTGCTCCTGTGAATGGAAGAATTGCATATATTTGTTTGCATTCAACAAGTCTTTAAAACCCTCCTTTGCAGATAAAAAAGGCTACTTAAGAATGCAGTTTGGGGTTACCAGTGGATGGATGTGCAGGTGCTGCCTCCATCAACTTGCCATTGAGAAACTGGTTGCACTTTATCATAAACAGGGCATTAGTAAGAATAAACAACACTTAGGAAAACCTTTAGCACCCTTACGGATCCTGTAATCTACAGCTTGAAAACTAACTTGAAATGGTCCCTCTTTTAGGCCGCAGAACTACTCATTACAGGTAGTGTGGCAGTTAAAAATACATCTACAGACACAGAAATTTCAACGTTTTCAAATGTGTGTGTTCTTGCTACCACTGCAGACAGGAGCTGTTGGCCTGCGCTCACGTGGCAGCGGGGCTCCTGCGCTTCCAGGGGTGCTTTCGGCACATTCACAGGCAGCTCTACACGAGGCGACTTGCACGCACACGCACACAAACACACATACGCACCTGTCAGAGGAGATAATAATCCATTATCCATTCAAGGAAAAAAAATATATTTATATCACTGCAATGGCACGTTTCGTGTAAAATGTCACTTCAGCAATGTATATAGGCAGCTCACAGGAACTGGGTTCTTTGCTGTGGCACCTGGCCTGGCGTCCATGGTAAGATGTGTAGGGTTCTGCCACCTGCATCTGTCTGCGATGCAGCAGTGACAGCCAGGGGATAGGGAGAGAAAACAACAAAATATATAAATAAAGTCCAAGGTAGGAAGAGAAAGCAGAAGGGGAGGAAAAAAAATCAAGAAGTCTGCAGGGCTTTGACACAGTACATTCCTCCAGTGACAACTGGGCGCTGAATCTCATCGAGTTAGTTATCTTTCAATGAATCAAAAATGGAGTGGCAAGGAAAAAAAAAAGAGAAAGTAAAAGTCACGCTCTCTTCAGGTCCCAATGACTGTTCAGTGCGTGGTTTCCAGGATCAGTGCTAGGGAAGACACAACCGTGGATCCAGAAGGCTTCGTGTCTGGTCTGTGTTCCTCCGCGGTCAATATGATCATCAGGACGGGCTATGAGGCCATGAAAGCAAAATCTGATTTCCCTGCACAAAAAGAAAACACAAATATTTCACCAACACGCAACACAACAGACACCTACCCCTGCCCTAGTATCTCCTCTGAGGTTTCCCTGCAGAAGCTGCTGCTCCACCTTGGGCTAGCCAGCACCTCCTCGGCTGCTGCAATCCTTCATTCACGTCCTCAGAAAAGAGCTGAACTCATTCCTGCCTGGTGAAGAG